CACACTGTTCGGCGTGTGTGTGTACAATGAGCGTTTGTTTTTGTTGATAACGACCGCATTCGATCTGATATGACTGTATTCCTTGACATATTTTTAAAAGCTGAGTTAATGTTTAAAAACCGAGATTCTTTAATAAAGTTAATCTTTATATCAAATAAAGTCTCAGTTGCCTTCGTGACATAACAGCTAAGATGTAATTTTTAAATCAACTAAAAAAACATATATATAAATTGATATGCAAATATAAAAAAAACAAATAATGGTTATTATTCAATCTTAATATAAGGGCAAAAATAAAATAAAATTTTCAAGATGAAAATAGAAACACAAGAAGTTCACATAATTTGACCGACAAAACAAATAATACTGAAAGTAAAAGAAACAAGATTTTAAAAGGATAAATAAATTTAAAATGGAATTATTAATCCAACTGAAGAAACTTTTAAGCAGTATTATCATTAACTTCTGAATTTTTTAAAATCCTTTCGGATGAACGGCGGAACCAATTTATTACAGCAAGTTCTATCTGTCAGTCATCAATTTTAAATTTATTTTTTACGGCAACTGCAAATGAAAAAGCAAGTTTTTTATAATATAGATCGTCGACTTTTGTCATCAACTATTAAAATATGTATATTTACCAAATATCGTACGTGCAATAATAGTTCCTTGTAGTTTTATATTATTTTTTCTTCCTTGCCAGGAAATTATTGCTGAAAGTTGTGGAGAAAACACAGCTCGAAGTATTCGTCTTATCATATCATTACCATCTTTTAAACCTCGATAAAAAACATTTTCTCCTAAAGAATCAAGAAAAATGTAATTAACTTTGTTTATATTTTAACGATTTTCATTTCTTTTATGAACACTTACAAGCTGTTCACATGCAACCGTGTTATTAGACAATAACGTTTCGAAGTCATGCCAATTCTGCATAACTGTGAATAAAAATGTAGGGAGAATATTTTCCAATTCTTCCTGATCCTTTCTTGCATGCCTAATGTTCCTTTCACAAAAGTCTTCTTGGTACTTATTGATAATATCATGTTGTATGATCGTTGAAATTACATTTACGAATTTCTTTGACTTCCAATTTTATTTGGGTTAAGTCACGTATTATTCGTTTTTCGAATTCTGTAAGAAAATGTGAATTAATTATACTAAACACATAATGAGTCTGTTCTCTGTATAGAATACGAATAATTAAAGATTTTACCACTTTCACCGAAATATGTTGATGTTGTTAGTGATATTACTTCACGAGGAATTGGGGATTTTATTCTCTGTTCTTCTTGATGAATATCCTTGCTGCATCCGGGTCGTGCATCGCCTAACGAGGAGACATATATTTAGTAATTTATATCTGTGGTCCAATCTGAGACAGTAAAATATCAAAAATATTTTAAAAAAAGGTTAAAAAAAATGTTTAAAATCTCGTCATATTAATTGATAACATGACCCAAAATGTATATAAATGTACTTAAAAGAAACTTTTTTTTTAATTTCTTATTCCTTTTCACTTAAGATTTAAAGTTGTTCAGAACGTGGCCATTTACATAAAATCCAAGTTCAATCTCATCACGAATCAATACATCTTTTAATGTTCTAAAAAATTTATTTGCAATTTTTGTAACGCCTTTTACAGATACTTACTGCCTCGGAATGTTTTTATTCGATTATACATTTTAAAAAACGTTTACATTTTATAAATAATTAGCTGATTTTTATAGCAATTTTTAAATTTTTATTATATTTTGTTTTTATACAACAATTTTGTACTTAGATCTAATTACTTTTGTTGATAATTTTAGCAATATTTTAATAATATGTTTACCTGTAACGTTATTGCGGTAGTTGTGTGGTGACTTTGTGGGAGAAAGGGAATTCTTTTTTCTTAGAATCTCACAATTTGCTTTTACAACTTTTTTGTTGGTAGCTGCGAAGGCTTTAGGTAATTGCAATACGTTCGATTTTTTCGGAAGCGTATTTTTCTTTTCTCCTTCATCTGACGAACTGTTTGAAAAAACTGTAGCTATGAAGTTTGGTTCCGATTCATTGTACAGTGTTGCCTTTTTTTTTAGTGCTCACTGCTTCATCCAAAGATGAATCGCTAAAATATTTTCGATTATTACGTTTAGATATTCGTTTTCCAGAGGCTTTTACATTTTTTGAGGGAAAATCAGATAAAATTTCAGCGTCTTTTAGGTTCGCCTGAGCTGTATCGAAGTCATCTAAAAAATTAGTTTTATCATAATGGCTCCAGTCAATCATTAGCTTTTTAAAATTACAAATTAAAACAAATTCAAAAAGAATCTTTAGTGAATACATATTATTTCAAAACTATTATTCAATTTTACTAATTATTTGATTTGAAATATTTTTAATTGTATTCTATATTACGTACCAAACGTGCCGAGGACTCTGCACTTGTAGATCGTCCAATGTTCACTGGGAAGTGTCCTATGAATAACATTTTTCTTCGGGAATGTAGTATTGGGCCAGCGACATGTTGCTGTTGATATAGAAATCCAAAAATCTGGCACAACTTCTACAGTGTTTTCTTCCGTAAAGTGGACAATGCAAAATCTTGAAGACATTTCTGTATATAGTTAAATATTTACACAATTAAATAGTAGACAATTATTGACTGTGTATCAATGGAAATATTACAATATTGTTGTGGCGATGTTGAGATGGATAGCATTCATCGAAAATAGGAAGAACGACCCCTTTGTTTTTTATATTTTCAATTGGAAATGATTTCAAAGAACTGTATTCACCAGAAAATTGTACTATTCCGAAACAAGTCGACGGTGCTGGAGAATTAAAAAACGGTTTTCCATTTTTTGCAGCTTTGCCAATAATCACAATGCTATTATTATTTTGATGGCATATGTTTTCTACCATAAAAATACTGTCATCTTTCATTATGCAGCAGTTATTAGGAGCTTTTGTAGTAATTGTAAAATGTTGGAATTGAATCGATTTGTACATCGGCGGTCTACAATCATTTATCAAGCATCCATTGTAACATTCTTTCCCTAATTTATAGATATTGACGCGATCGACGATTTTACTGGTGACATAATTTCTTCTTATTTCAGAAATTCTGTTACTTAGTTGCTGAAGAGATTTATCATTTTTTCTCACAATTTTTTGATTTCTTGTAAATAGTTTTCGAAAATAAATGCAGAAAATTCATCTAATGCTCCCCATTTTAAAGCATCACCAGATGTAATAATCCGTGTGTATTATATGTAGCATTGTCTACTCCATACAATATTAAAAAATCGGCAAAATACTCTTGTAATAAACTCTTTGCGTATCTGTTTTGATCTACGTCTATTCCGGGAGTTGCTAAAATACGTATACCTATTGATAATTTAAGAAAATGCTTATAAACATCTTGTCTTACAATCTTACGAAGAACTATTGGTCCAGTATACAAGACGAATTCTCTATATTCGGTTGCCTTCATTCGATCAAGCTCATCCAACGCTCTGGGTTTTCGAGCAAAGTCAAATGGGATATGTATTTTTAATGCAAGCTGCCTACGTGAAATGTTAAAAATTTGTTGTGCCCCTAGTTTCATCGGATTTAATTTTCCGGTCATTAATTTTAGCATTTTTTTCACTTGTCCTAGTAATACCAAATGCATGTAATCATAGGGGAATTGGGAAATCATATCTATATTAAGTTTTAATAACGGACTTACTCCAGTATGATGTTCAATTTGGGTTTGATTGACAAATGATTCTGTGGTACGCAATGGAGCATTAATTTCTGGAAATACTACTTTTCCTCGGTAGATACCTCTAGTCTCACATTTGGGACATCCGTAAAATCCGCTGTGACCTTATATACAGCAAACATAAGCTCTTGCAGGAGCGTCACATATGAAGCAATCAATTATGAATGGAATAGTCTTGTTAACATAAGTAAAACCATTTTGAATTAGGTTTTCAGCTTCTTCAATAAATAATTGTAAAAATATTTCAATATTTGGTGGTTTTCCATACCCGTGAAAGGCTCCTATTAAAAATAGTTTCTTATTTATAAAACTTCGAAAACTCCCAAGAATAGGCCATAGTTGACTCTTGGAACTTTTAGTAAGAGGTAGTCCATCTATGTTCACAGATAAATGTACTTCTTCTGATAAATACTTGAGACCACCACTGAGTTTAATTACATGTTGCAAGCCCTCCTCTATTCCAAAATATCCAGTATTGTCCATGCTCCATTTGAATAACTTTCGATTTTCTGGGTGTTTTTAAAAGCGTTCGACCATTTTGTGGAAGGCTCTTCATACAATTTTCTATTCTTAATACCTGTAAAAGATTAGTTACGGCAGATATACATATATTGTTTGCATGACTCCACTGCACTAGATTTGTCTGCAACCTATTAATATTTACTTCGTTATCAATATCGCTTTCAAACTCCATTGAATCTTCGCTATCGTATTCATCTGGCAATATTTCTTCTATTTCTTCTTCTTCTTCTACCATTTCCTGCTCCTCTACTTCTTGTTGCACTTCTTCTTGTATTGACTGATTACATGCTTCATTGTAATTGAACTCAAACGGAACGTCTTCGTTTATTTGTAATTGTCTGTTATTGATATTATTGTCACACATTTTCAGTTCAGATAAATTTTCTGATTTTTCATAGTTATTATTAAGTTCAATTTCCTGTAGCGTTTGTTTAAAAAGTCGGCCTCGATGCTGACGACTATAAAATCTTTGCTTCTTTAATTTCGGCACGATTCCGCTCAGTATCTTACCCCAAAAGAAAATAATTGGTACCAATTAGATCTGCATAAATTTAATTAACGTTTATGTTAACGTGATTGATAACCAATAGAACTTTTGCATGTGAAGAACCTGCCGTCTGTAAAACCTGCCAATTTTAAAGTCCACTTATATTTTTAATTGTAAAGGTAATATAGTAACAAAATGTTTAAATTTTTAATTTATATCTAATTTTATGTTATAATATAATAGAAAAAAGTTACTAAATTTAAGAAATTATATATTATTTGAATAAATTAAATTATTTCTTCCACTAGTATCTCCTAAATGTTGTACTTGAAATTTAAAAAAAAATTTAAAGTTTATATTAAATAAATTATGACTAAATAAATTATTACTTTAATAAGTCTATATTTCCTTCAGGGAAAAAAAATTATTTGAATTAAAATATTGAATACAATTCTGTTAAAAAATATCTACTTGATTGCAATAATTTCTGAAAATACATTTCAAGGCATAATTTTAGAGAAATAAATTTATATGTTGTAACAAATAAAAAACAATTTAAAACAATAAAAAATAAAACAGTTTGGTCTTAATTTGTGTATAAGAATTTATCATTTGTGATAAAAAAAACAGTTTATTATCTATCAATTTGATATATTTAAGTTTAAGTATTTTTAAGACAAATTGTTGAGTTTAAGAAAATAATTTCTTGAGTCAAATTGATTAATAATGAAAATCCATAATTGTTTTATTTTAATTTCTTTCACAACAATTATGTCTCAATATTTATTTTCATATAGGACAAATTTTTTAAGATAAAAATAAGGGAGTACTCATGATCTGTTCAGGCCCTAATGTAGAATGTACTTTGTTTATTGTTAAGGACAAATTGTCTTAGATGTTCATGATCATTTGTACATGCCGGCTCATATATGAATGATCTGATCGACTTACTCTGTATAAATTGCAGAAACTTTAAAATTTTTTATAATTTACAATTTTTCCTAGCATGCTGAAGTGCAATTACCTCGATCGAAGCATGCATAATATTTAATATGTAACAATAAAAGCTAACAATAAGTGTAAAAAGAAATATAAATTTGTGCTAAAGTACAACAAAAGAAAGGAATAAAAAAGACAGGAAATATACTTTTAATCAGACGCAAACTGTCGATGTGAAAATTCTTCAACACTGAGCATAATGATTAATTGCAAGGCCAGTTTCTAAACATAATTTATATAACTGAGTTATTTACATAATATATATATATGTGTGTGTGTGTGTGCGTGCGTGCGTGCGTGCGTGCGTGCGTGCGTGCGTGCGTGCGTGCGTGCGTGCGTGCGTGCGTGCGTGCGTGCGTGCGTGCGTGCGTGCGTGCGTGCGTGCGTGCGTGCGTGCGTGCGTGCGTGCGTGCGTGCGTGCGTGCGTGCGTGCGTGCGTGCGTGCGTGCGTGCGTGCGTGCGTGCGTGCGTGCGTGCGA